GTTTTCGACAGCGCGGATTCATCGTCGCGAGCTACATTGATAAATAAGTTCCCGGGGCCGCGCCGCCGCTCGTTCCATTCTTCGTTTGATTTAAGATCGCGGAAAGCTGTACGCTTTTAAAGCGCTCTCATGCTAAATTATTATACTTTGGCTGACCTACTTCGGTCTTTGTACGTAATCTCAGTTGGCTCTCTCTCTCCCTCCCTCTCTCTTTATTTTTCCCCCCCCCCCCTCCCTCCCTCTTTCTCTCGACCGCAATACTGCCTCCCCCGTACCCGTTAGAGGCAAAATGTTTTCAATCGCGTAAAAATTTACGTCCATAAGATGCGTAAGTATCTTTATTCCCGGGTGGTTTATATCCCCGCTTTCGATACTTGGAGAATTGAGAATATTTCACAGGAGGATGAGAACCTAGTAATGCGACAAGAAAAAGCGCGGCTCCTTCCCCGAAAGTAATTCCTATGAAACCATCGAACTCTCTTTCGTTATTCATACAAACTCGATGTCCAATTAATTTTCACTCGGTCTTCGTTGTTAAGTCTACGAAAGCATTTCTCTCCAATTTTCAACCTCTCTCTCTCTCTCTCTCTCTCTCTCTCTCTCTCTCTCTCTTTCTCCCTCACCAATAAAATTATAAAATCCGTTAATTTTATTTTTATATATACTTTTTTATATTTTTACATATTTATTTTCATTCCTTTTCCATGTACATATACTTCCCGATTTATTGAAACTATTTTGTGGAAAAGAGAATTTGTTGAGGAGAGAATAAGTGTATTCCTACCTTTGTAAATCGGAAGAATGCTAATGTTTCATTTCCCGCCACCATGCGTACTCGTAATGTCGCTCGAAGAAGGGATGAAATCGCTCTTTGTTAAGTTTCCCGCGTATATGTCGACGATCCACTTTCCGGAACGAAGTGAAGGACTGTTAAGTGTCTCGGGCGAGGCGATCGGACTCGCATCGTCGAAGGATCAAAGTCCTGTCCGCGGCGCGCGACGCGAGAACAATGACGTTCGGAATGGAATTCCAGAACGGAAAGTCCCTGTAATTGGAAATCTCTCTCTTCCTACCCTTCCATCCCTCTTTTCTCTCGCCGTTATACACACAGCCAATGCGAGGCTGCAAGGACGGCGATCGATAGTTCCTTGACACCCGTGGGAAAATCGGATACGCGAGCCTTGCTCGAGGAAAGAGAGAGAGAGAGAGAGAGAGACTCCCACAACCGGGGAAGGATCTGCGCGCTCGGACACGAACCTAATACGCAAGAAGGATAAGTACAATGAAAAGGAAGAATTAGTCCGCTTTTTATTCCCGCGAAGACACCGCGGGGAAACACGACAAAGAGTTTATCCGCGGGCTTTTCCTTCGGTATTATCATTCCCATACCGGATCTCTTCGCACAGTTCTCTCTTTGCGATTAATAAATTAACGTAATTACGGGGCTTTCTTCCCATCGCGCATTACACAAATTCTACGTAAATCAGATTGCGCTATGAGTGACTGTGAAAAATCGCGGTCTTCCGCCGAGAGAAAAAAGGAGAGAGAGAGAGAGAGAGGGAGGGAGGAAGAGGGTGCATTCGGGAGAATGAGTGAGACGAACGTTGCATTCCGCCGCTCGAATTACTTTCTTTACAGGCTAGCAAAATTCGTTGAATGTTTAAATTAACTGGCGGGGATTTTGAGACAATTTAAAAGGCTAGTGCGGCTAGTCGCCTTTCGCATTGCCGTAATGCGGGCCAATTGCAAAGTCAAATATAAAGTTACCACGAGGCGTTGGAGTGACAACTGAATGTTCCAGATAGTTCGCCGATTTCCCTCGCCGAGCTCGCTCATTCCGAACGGTTCGGAAAAGCGAAGGATCAACGTCTGATGTTGGACGATCGATAAAATCTCTGCGACGGACGAGCTTGACGGTAACGTATGATCAGTTCGTTAAGAGGGAATTAGAGAGCGCACGGATGGTGGCTCTTGCTAGTTGAATCGTCTAATCGGATCACATCGCGGATTCGGGCGTGCTAAGCTAGCCGTCTTTGAGAACAACGTGATTCGACGAACACAGACAGGCCCAGTGTGTCGTCGTCGTTGTCGTCGTAGTCGAAGACGTGAGATCGGGCTAAGTAGAAATAGCGGGATCTCTTCCAGTTCCTTCGGCGCGGAATATGTACATATCGAGAGGTCGCCCGAAGGGAAACTTCGCCGGTGGAATTCGTAACGAACCTTCACCGCCCGTCGTTGACTCGCGATCGACGACTCGCTTCGTTTCGTGTCCCGCTACCGTTAGGTCCTATCCGTGTAGTAATTAGATTCTGTCGAGTGAGATCAAAGTCTACCGCCATTTCCATTCCCGCGAGGAACTTCGTTTCCCGAAGTTTTCCGGCGCGCGGTCGTTTTTCCCCCGGTAGATTCTTAGAGAGAGAGAGAGAGAGAGAGAGAAAGACTGCGTTGCCGAACTTTTTCGACGATGGGATCGCGACGAGGGTTGGTTTCCTCGTGCGGCGTATGGATGTAATCGATAAGTGCGGAAGTGCTTTCGTAATTGTTTCTGTCGTGGTACTCTCCGCGAGACGCGATGTCGTGAAACGAACGAACGTTCCCCGAATATCTTGTTCTCTTTTCCCGCCCGGTATTACTTGTCAAGGCAAAGAGGTTCAACAATATATAACTGTGCAAAAAATAACAATCGGAAAGCTTTTAACGGGAGAAGTAGAGAGATTTACATTAAATAATTATATTTGTAAAATATTAATATTAAAATCCTTATCTTCCTCCTTCTCTCTGAAGAAAAATAATCACTGATAACTAACTAGGATATCGCGATCACCATAAATATAAATTTCGGGAAATCAGGGGATCTTTTTTACAGTCGTTCTTTACATCCTCCACGGGGAAAAGACATGTCTCACAAAGGGCTGCGTTTCGATTGCTCTATGAATACGATGAGCAGATGTATACACACACACACACACACACACACATATACATACATAGCAAAGAGAGACGAGAGTTTCGAGGATACGTGAAAACTATTGGTGCGATATAAAGGAACAGTTCGGCTCTGGAGCGCGAACGCGTTCGATATTCGCGTGCGGCATCGTGTACACGTGACACCGTGCGAGGTATTCGCGCGCCGATGCGGGAAGCGAAGGAAGGCGAAGATGGGCGAACCAATGCCTGAGGGCATGGCGCGCTTTTACACCTTTTTCGCGTAAATGTCTCGAGATAAACGTCCTACGACGAGCGGCTACGGCGTACGTGTCGCTGCCGTCGTCTGGCGCAGCCGCTCCGCCGACAGGAGGATCCTTGTGTCAGGACGAATTCATAACAGAGTCATAATTGCGGGACGGGTCCCGCAGTATGCATAATCCCGTAGTTAGCAGTTCTGCTTAACGATCCGCGAGAAGCAATCCCGACGTACCTGCCACGCTGCAGGATGGAGGCGTCCCGGCCAACCCATCCCTTATTACCTCCCTCGCTCGCCATTTCTCTCTCTCTCTCTCTCTCTCTCTCCTTGCTATCTCCGCTACGTGGAAACCCCGTACCTAAACTATACACACGCGTATACGGGAACACGTAGAAGCGCGAGGACACGTACCACAGGGTTACCGTACGTACGTACGACTGGCGAAACCGGGGCCTGAGTGTGACGCGACAAAAACCGTGGATAAAGAACAGGGGGAGGAGTGGGAGGAGGTGGACGGACGGGTTGTGCAGTCGCGCTGGAAGGAGAGAGAAGGCGAAAGAGACAGGGAGAACAGGAGAGTTCGTTAATTACAGTTCCTCTGCTGCCACCGCTCACCGCAAGCGGCCATGAAGAGAGGAGGATCCCGGAGAGAAGGGTGCGAGGCTCCATGGTAATATCGCGTTCGGACAGTAACGTGCCTCGTCAACGTGGATCACGGAAGTAGCAAAGCGGACACTGCCTTTTCTTCCACGAAGGGAGGAAACTTCGCTTTTCTCATCGCGCGAGAGAGAGAGAGAGAGAGACGGGGAGATTTAACGAGTGACCAAGAACGGGGCTTTCCTCGTCTCGCGAATCGCTAAAATTTGTAGATGTGAACGCAATATGGCGAGTGAGGACGTAGAATTCGATGGAACGGTTGGTGAGTCGATGAACAATTCGCGCGACGAGAAGTCTCAAAGTGCAAATTTCTCGGTCGAACATATATCTCTGGTGGAAATGTATGCGGACATCATATTGACGGCAATATAGCGGCTTCTGACGTCACTCTGGGTCCTATTAGAACGTGCTTGTAAATACTGTGAAAACGCGTTGAAATTTTACTTCAATGTTTCCCTTCCGGCAAATTTTTCCGAGATTATCGAGTAGTACGCCGAACGCGCGCTAAGCGCGGCCAAAAAGAAAAGTCAATCGAACGAACACGTCTGCGCTAGCGAACACTAATTTACATCAAAGCGAGATCAAGTTCAATTTGCGCGTCGCGTACACATCGCCACTTTGGAAGAGTTTATCGGTGCAAAATGTGTTCGTAGACGACAATAGCCAATTAGAGGAACGCGCGACGCCGGATGCTTTGATTCTCCGTCGTAGATAAATGCGTCGGGGCGCGCGCGCTCGCGCTACATTTATCCGGCCCGTTTCGTCAAACGAGTACTTTCTACTTCGCGAACGCGCACCGACGCGAGTAACGAAGCGCCCTTAATTCATTCGCCCCGTAATTAATTATACATCGTTGTTGCACTACGGAGATGAGCTCGATAAAAATTCGTCCCGTAACTCGCGCTCTCTCGCGCATTCTCGCGCGTATTCATCACATCCGCGCGCAATTCCACGCGAAGCGGTAGAATTCGACTCCGAACCGCACGCCCGCCTCGATTATTTCGGTTCACGTGGTTTTCCCTCCTCCCCCCCCTCCGACTACCAACTATGTCGGATTATCCGCGTGCCAGTGACGATTTCGACTCGCTAATTTATCGATTCGCTTGCGAAATCGTGTTGCCGGTCAGGCATTGCGCAAACAAAGTCGCGTGGACAGAGCTCACTCACCCGTGTGCGTCCTTTGATGAGCCTTCAGATGCGAGCTCTTGGTATACTCCTTCTTGCATCCGGGGAACTGGCATTTGTGTAGCCTGCGCTTCGTGTCGGGCGGACTGTGCTCGTTGCTCCTCGCGTGGTGCCTGTTGGCCACGGTGGTCGCGGCCGCGGTTGCACCCGCGTGCGCGTGTTGCGTGCCGGCGACCGCAGGGAAGCCGTTCGCCGTGACGGAGATCAGTCTGCAAAAGAAAGAAAAAAAACCCGCGGTTTTGCCTCCTCTTATTGGCCGCGTTAGCCCCAGTAGTAATTAGTCCGACGCGCGCTGTCCGAGGCGAGACGTGCGCCGTCCGTGAAACGGGCTTGCACGTGCGTGCGCGACGCTTCGCTACCTCGACGAGTTTAACAAGTGGCGTGATCGGTCGAACGGCGAGCAACCGGCCGAGCGAGCCGCCGAAAGAAATCGCGGAGGAGCGCGCGTTTCCGGCACCGCTCGACGGCTTAATGATGGATCGCAGGAGCGAATTGTTTCGCAGGCCTATTACTCGGGGCAGCGGGACCTCTCGCGAGGAACGTTCGGAAGCCACTTCCCGACGGTGTGTCGGCGTTTTTCGCATTTTTCTCCTTTTTTCTCGTCCCTTCGCGAGGGGCCGCGAGAGCTCGTTTTTCCGAATCGGAATTCCGCGGAAAATTGCCGAGAGAACGAATCTCGGAGGCGGGACAACCGGAAAGCTCGATCACTCGGTGCCGAAGAACTACGGGGGTACAGTTAATCGAGAGATCATTTCCGAGCGAGACGGACCGTTACGGTACATTCGTCTTTCTCCCGCCGGCTGAGTGTCGTTACCTAAGTACCTCGTTCGATTCTAAGAGCAACCGGGATTCTTTATCATCGGAGATGAACGACGGGAGAACCTCGATGTGGAGAAAAAGTCGGGATGGCGCGCGAGCGAAGACTTCCGCCGTCGAGATGGTGACTCGCGTGACGTTCGTAACATTCGGGGAGTAAGTACGTTAGTTTTACGACACTTTACCTTGCGACACCCTGCGCATTGCTGGTGGTGACCCTGACGATAGCGCTCCTGCCACCCGTGCCGTGAAGGTTGAGGTTGTGCACGTCGAGCATCGAACTCCCACTCGACGAGTGACTGGAGTTGGAATGACCTTGACCCGACCCAGGACTCGGCGGCGGCGTCAGGATCTGACCTTCGCTTTCGCACCCGCTATCCTCATCCTCCTCGATCTCCTGCAGCGGTAAAATTGCACGCATTATGCAACGCGTTTACGATAACGGGATCAATGGCCGCCGCTCGGAATCTCGCGTCGTGCTTCGACGGGTTACGGCGGGCAAATAAACCGGTGGGAGTCGAGCGGTCGCGCGACCTTGCGAACTAACACCGTTATTTTTTCCGCTACCGTATCGTTCGGACTAAATGCTCAGGCTCAATTCGCTCGTCTCTTCACTTTGTCCCTCCGGGTGTGGAATTAAGAAAAAAAAAGGACGCTTCCGATGCCTCCGTTTACTTTGTTTCCGTACTAAATAAATCCAACTTGAGTTCGGTATTTTCTTACTTCTCAGATCTCGCCTATTATCAATAGAGAAACTTACACGTATATTAGAAACTCATCGAGATTTATCTCGCTTGATCTTCTATATTAAATTGCTACTTATAAATTGTAAGGTCAAAATGATGTTTCCACTTCGCGAGGAAGGTTAATTGTTATTCCGATATTAAGACTGTGTATTTCCGATAAACTGCCGTTGATTCCGAGAGAAACATCGTCAACTGAAACCGTCGAAGACGCCACAACCCACCTCGTGTTCCTCATCCTCTTCGAGATCCTCGCTGGGCTCTTTTTTGAGAATGAGCGCTGTGCACGAGAGGGAGGGTGAGCTGTCCCAGGACAGCGCGGAACACGCCGAACTCGACGATGACATCGACAGGGAATCGAGGTGACGATCGAGAAGATCCCTATCGCGGCCATTGTCATTATGATCGCCGGGACTGAATTTGATGTCGTCCAGACAGAGGGGATCTCTTTCGTCCGTTGTCGTCACCTGATTCGCAAAACAGAGAGATGCGTTTTGATTTTCAGTAAAGCTCGCAAATTTCTCGTTTGTCCACAAGATATTAGCGGTGTATCTTCTGTTAATATTTTATTCTTAACAGGTTTCTTAATGAAGTTACTGACAACAAAGCGTATATATTGGGAGTAACAAGTGACTATCAACAAAATAACTTGGTACTAACAGAATAATAAGAATGACCTAGAAATCGTCCGATTACGTACCTCCATTTTGATTGGGGGATCGAATTGTGCACTCGTCCCGGTGGAAGCCGTCCACGAAATCGGCGGCGCCCTGAAGAGGTTCCAGGGCGTTGTGTCCAGTTCCGTGGGGAGTTTTTTGTACGACTGCAACTTCGGCTCGTCCTTCAGGTACCTCTCCATCTCGTAGCATGTCTGGAACAGGAGACAAGAGGGCGCGTTAGGAGTCTGCAGCGAATTAAGTATCCCCCGTCGAGCCGTTACGCTGAAGCGGCGGCAACGAGCGCTGCTACTACGACTTCAATTCGACAGCCACGTAACAGGGGAGAATGATCGCTCGAGTGATACATATTGCTTCGATATTTCACGAGACAGGGGAGGAGGTCGAACGCGTCGAGAGAGCGCGCGTGCTTCGGTCGCGGGGGAGTTTCGAATTTCGCAGGACGCGCGGTGGCCCCAAACACGAAGCGTTCTCGCAAACACGCTCGACCCGCTCGCGATGAGCAACAAGCACCTACGGCGATCGCGAGTCCCCGCAGACGCTTCGGAAATTATCCGCAGCAGCCGTGCATCCCATATGGGGAAGTGCATCGCCGTCAACGCAACTACTCGCGAGTTTGCGAAGTTGGTGCTCTCTCCCGTAGGCTTTACCAGTTTGGTACAGTTCCTTGGAGAGAGAGTACAAAGTTATGCCGCTCACTGCGAGGAATTATGCACCAACTATACACCGCAAATGAGATTATAGCGCCCTATTCTGGCTAAGTCTCCTTCGGGTTCTTCACCCTATCGGCTTCTCTCCGTGCGAACACTTCCCCGCGCGAGGCGAATAATCGTCAAATAGCGGTGGCACCGACGAATTTCGAACTTAATGCGCGAGCAACGCGTGAAACAATGGTCAGTCTCCGACTTGGGTGGGATTGGATTATTGGCTCCTCCGGAAATCGATTAAGAACGCCGTCGCCGTCTTCACCGCGACCGCCCTAGTCCCGTTAATTGTAGACAATTGTGTACACCGTTCGAGTTGAGAGAAGGGACGTCAGTGAGAAATGGCGGAAAGGAAAGAGACTTTTATAAATATACGTTTCGATCAGGGCTATTCGACAGCTTTTCGAAACTTCGGAACGTCGGATGTAATTCGACGCTCGACAACGAAGTTCGAAGATTCGAGGCTCCTATTCGAAGATTCGAAATACCGATGCTGTTAATAGAACTAATTTTGGAGAGCGCGACAAAATGTTATGCGATTAGAGAACATCGGTATATCTTAAGGTCAACGTTATATTTCACTCTTTCTCTTTTCGGATTCTTCATAGGTGATTCTTCTCATATTCGATAATCCTGATTTTGCCGCGGTAGTTCAATACATTTTTCGGAGCAAACGTAATTACGATTTGATTTACGTCAAATGATCAAAACTGCGTGTGTGGAATTAAGTGGATTAGGAGCGACCGTTTTGCGCCACAAGCGGGACAACTTCCGCAACGGCGGTCGTAAAATTAAAAGGCGAGAGGTAGGGTCCCCACGGTTATCTTTAATGTCATAATTTACGGTAAGTACGTCTAGAATCAAACGACGAGCAAGAAGTCAAGTCTATTTTCCCGGCTGACAAAGATTCTTCGGGAAGTGCAAAAAATGGCTCCGCGCCGAAGTTCGAGGGCTGCGTCTAATGCCGCCCCGGTCCCTTCTGCGAGAAAAATAATCGCCGCCGGGCTCCTTCATTATTCACGATTAAAGTTCGTCCAGGGGGCACCGTGGGTACGACTAACGGCGTTAATATAACTTGGAAAGGAATTTTATCACTCGCTTAGGGACCGTTTCTCCTTCCCTGGGGCTTGCCTCGGCATCGACTGAACTTTACTAATCCTGACCTCGGTGGCACGGCTCTATATAGACACGGACAATCCATCCTCGTCGACCTAATCTGTCAGAAAATCTTCGAGGAAAACAACGTTAATCGTCGTTGCAAATAGAACTATATTAACGCGTCTAACGCCACTGAGATGGTCCCCCTTCGTTAATTTTGCAAAAGCCGGACTAACGTCCGTACATAGATAAAGTTGTGAAAAATAAGAAATGGAATTTTAAAAATCACTCGTTGACGAAATCAATTTAAGTGAAACGGAGAGAAAAATATTTAAGCGGAGCGCCGTCACTGCGGTAAAGGCGAAGTAAAAATGTCGAATCGAGTATCAAAAAGAAAATGGTGATACGTCGTGTGACAAAAGATCCTTTCAATTCAGTTGATTTTATTTAGAAGAAAAAAAATGTGTGTTTTAATATCTAATAATTGAATTTTCATGCGTTCCCGACTAAAACAAACTCATAAATAATTCGCGGATGCGGGCTGCCGGGATTTTCCCATTTTGCGGAGCCGATGTTTACGGATCCGATGGTAGACCAGGGGCTCGTTTTTTTGTCAGACTTAGCCGCCCTTTCTTATGCGTCCCGCGGTATAATGTGCATTACATTAATATTGATTCCACGACGTCGTATCCCACCGCAAAACAGGAAGCGAATGCATTTACGAGGCAATGTAGCGTCGGCGACGAGTCGCGGAAGTTCGGGGAAACGGGGTCGACCTTTCGCAGTTTCGAGATTATTCCGGGAAGGTGAATTGTTTCGCGGAAGATATTTTGATTTCCTCTGTTTTCCCCCGTTGGGTAACGGTGAAACCGGCCTCTCGTTATGCCGCTCAGGAGTGCTACGGGTAGCGCACGGCATCGCTAGGGGGATCGCCGTAGAAAAATAACCGGGAGCTTTCCGGTTAAGCGCACACACCCGCGCGCGCGACTTTACGACTTTTCGCGGAGACGAGCCGGAGCGCGTCCTTTCGCCATTGGCTCCGTTAAATCCCGAAACTGCGCAATAATTTAGAAGTTCACGTCGGGGTGTACGTCCGCGGGTCGATCACAATGGTCACGCACTAACGTTTGCCGGCGGGCCGAGCCGTAAGCATCCGAATTGCGGAGATTCTCTATTACGCTTTTCGCGACGAGCCCAGAGGCCATTCGCCCGCGGATTTACGTGATCCACCGCCGCCGCCGCCGCTGACACCATCACCACCACTCTCTACGTCATGCCAACGAAATTATACCGTGTCTTGAGAGAGCTCGCTCGCTCGTTTCGCGTATACACACGGCCGTCTCGCGTCGCTAAAGATCACCGACGTTCCATCATCTCGTCTCCGTCGGACACGTTTTCTACTAATGTAACTTAATTATTCGACGAGACGAGATCTCTCTCGTCGAGAGAGGAAGGAAGAGAGAGAGAGAGAGAGTGAGCCGCGTCGAACGTTTTACGCTCGATATACAGACAAATGGGTACAGATGATCTCTCGAAGTTACTCCGGCAATTTTTCTTCGGACAGCTCCGGATGATATTCCTCCCACGAGACCTAAGCAAACATTCGGTGAGCGCAAATTTTTTTTACGATGTTTGCCTTCTTTTCCCGGCTGACGAAGGGATCGCAGCGAGGGACAGTGGCAATAAAAAATATTCCACCGATCGATAGGCCGAACGCTCGGCGAAGGAGGAACAACGAAAGGAGATCGTGTCCTAGCCATTATATTTTTATAGGTAAACCTGCGAGCCATTTACTGATTTATGACGTCCCAGCAATTCTGTTGGATCCGCGAAAACGTTCGCGTCATTCGTGGTATCGAGGCACCATTTTTTCGGATATTCCGGCGTGTAACACTTCAAAAGCGACCCCTAATTTCCAGTATCACGCGCGTCGCTTCAGATTTTGTCGCACACATGATAAATGTTCATCGAGACGACTTGTCTCTCTATGGAAGGAGAAAAATCATCTGTCGACATAGCGATTTAATGACGTCAGAACAAAATTTGTCGGTTACTGTACGGTTCTTAAACAGTCGCATTTAACTTTCGATATACGGGTATCGCATGATTTTTCTCACGCTATTTCCCCGTGGCAGTGTCATCCGCGAAAACTTCCGACGGCGATAGCGAGAGGCGAGTCGCGAAACCTCCTGCGATTCTCGATGGAAATACAATTCGATTTTCTGGTGAACTGGCTGCGATCACGTTTCATTGTTGTGATATCGCGGGACATTTGTAGATCTTTACTTCCCGCGGAACCATCGGGACCTTTCTATAAGATCCGACCAACGAGGTCATATCGAAGAAGGGAGAACGTCTTCGTTGGTCGGGCGCAGAAACAGTTCCGAGATAATGGTCACTCTCTACGACCGATAAGACTGTTCTTAATGATAACAGCGTCATTGCGGAGTCCGTGTAGGATAGAACTCGATTCGTCGGTGGGCCATCACATCGGACAAACAGTAGGAGAAAGAGGAAAAAAGGGAGAGCGAGAGAGATAGAGAGAGAGAGAGGAGGAGGAGGAAAATCGACCGGGTCGTGGAGCGGAGAGCAAAACCCGAGCGGACAGAGAGGACATCGAGAGCTCCACGTTGGATTCTCCAAATCTCTTATCGTAGACCCCTCGTACATTCCCAAAAGTTGGACCCTCCGCTCTCCCTCCCTTTCTATATCTTCTCCACGACTACAGTTTACGCAAACTCAAATCCCGCGTAACTCACAGCCGCCGGCGAGACACTCGGACGGTAACGAGACCGGAACCCGCTGGATCTGGCGGTAACGGTAAAATAAAGCATCTTCAAGGAGCCGAGCGTCTGCAGCGGCAGACATCGAGAGCGCAGCTGGCGCGAGGCGCATTGCCGTTGAGATGAGGAGAGGAAGAGGGCCGGCGAAAAGGCGACGACGGCGAGTCACCCCCGAGAAGAGGTGGAAGAAGAAGATAATCTTCGCCCGTCGGCGGAATATCGCGCGTCGGATTCACCTTTTCCTCCTTCTTCCTCGCGTTTTTCAGCCTTCGCCGCGCGCACCTTCCCGGCGGGACGTGAAGTTCCGCAGTAATTCCACGGGACTGTCATTAACAGAGCCCTCGCGGCTCGCTCGAGAGCGAATGAATGATAACCCGAGAGCTCACTCGCGGCCGTTCGCTCGCGCGCGCACTCGCGTGCGAGCGACCGTCGATGCATTTCAGCCCTCCTGCCAGGAGGGCCACCGCGGTGGCGGTCTGCCAGGTCGTTAAAGAGATCCCCGCGACTTTAAGGGCGCCGTAAACCCACGAATTTATCTCGTCCTTCCCTCCTACTTTTCCATTCCCCGCGCGTTTCGTTCGCTCGCTCTCTCTCTCTCTCGCTGCGTCC